TAATCAAGCCGAATATAACAGTTGAGCGACCGTGCTAGAACCACGGAACTCGGGAATGCCTAACACCTTCTCCCGGGTTAACAGAATTCCTTATCCGGATTTCTGGTACGCAGACTGTAATATGGAGTCATTTTTTTCCTCGATTCGGGATTAAAATTGGTGACTTGGGACACCCTAAATCTCCCAAGTGGCGACTCTGAAATAAATAAACAAATCCCGTTTCGATTGTCCTTAAATTGGAAAAAACTCTCTTGCGCCCTCGCGGGTGCGTAAAAAGGAGGTGTGACAAAATGGATCAAAGAACGAAAATGATTGATAGAGAAAATAAGAAATGAACTAATAATAACTCCAAAAAATTAAGGCTTAAAGCTTGGAGAATAAAGTTAACAATAGCAGTATGGATTTTAATAATGTAACGACATGGTCGGTCGTTTTATGAATTTTAGCCCCGTTTCCCCCATTTCTGCTTCTTTATGTCTTTCCCAGTTGTATTATATGGTATCGGGTTGGTTGGTTCGGGTTCGAAGAGATTTTGAAGAGGAATGAGACTCTTAGTCTCTTAAGTTGGTCATTTAGTTGAAAAGTCAATCGGAAGTTGACTTGTGAGTAAACGATCTCGGAATTTGGTTTTTATGATTTGTTTAGATCCGTTAGGTGATTTGGACTTGGGAGTGCATCTGGAATGTATTTTGGAGGTCCGTGGAAGATTTAAGCTTGAATTGGCGAACTAGAAAATTTGGCATTTTTCGGTCGGAAGTGGAAACCTTGATATCGGGGTTGGAATGAAATTTTGGAAATTGGAGTAGGTCCGTTGTGTCATTTGGGACGTGTGTACAAAATTTCAGGTCATTCGGACGAAGTTTGATAGACTTTTTGATCGAATTCGAAAGTTTTGGAATCCTTAGGCTTGAATCCGAGGGTGAATTGATGTTTTGATGTTGTTTTAAGCGTTTCGAAGGTTGGAACAAGTTTTAATGATGTTATGGGATGTGTTGGTATGTTTGGTTGAGGTCCCGAGGGCCTCAGGTGAGTTTCAGGTGGTTAACGGGTCATTTCGGACTTTGGAAATGTAGCAGATTTTCTCGCATTTTTGTTCCAGAGATTTGTTCTTCGCGTTCGCGAAGAGTATTTGGAGATTGATGAGGAATTGGTCTTCGCGTTCGCGAAGGGTTAGGGGCAAAGTGCATCCGGATGCGAGATTTGTAATGCGTTCGCGAAGAAGAGAAAAGGCTGTTGGGACCTCATTCAATTGGCCTACGCGTTCGCGAGAGTGAGGTCGCGTTCGCGTAAAAGTGATTCTGGTCAGAGGAAATTTGTGCTTCGCGAACGCGAGAAGGTGGTCGTGTTCGCGATGAAGGTCGCATCTAGACAGAAACTTTAAGTTAAAAATCGAGGGTTTTGGTCCATAATCTCAAATCTCATTAGAGAGCTCGAGAGAAGGTGATTTTGGAAGGAATTTTCAGAGGATTGATTGGGGTAAGTGTTCCTCACACAAATTTGGTTAAATTCCGTGATTATATCTTGATTTTTACCATTTAATTTGGTAATTTGGGGTAACAATTGGGGAAAAGGGGGAGAAAATTTGGAGAGTTGAATTGGGGATTTGAGGGGTCATTTGGGGTCCGATTTTGATGTTTTTGATATGTATAGACTCGTGGGAGGATGGGGATTCTTTTGATGTGATTTTTTATTGAATTTTGAGGCATAGGTCCGGGGGTCGGGTTTGACCAATTTCGGGATTTGTGATGTAATTTGATTATTTTCGAGTGGGCTTTGTTCCCTTAGCATATATTGATGTAATGATTTTGATTTTTGTTAGAGACGGGCCATTTGGAGGCCAAATCGAGAGGCAAGGGCATCGCAGGCTAGGGTTTGGCTTGGCTTGAGGTAAGTAACACTTTCAAACTTGATTTTGAGGGTTCGAAACCCCCAAACTATGTGTTCTATGATTACTGTTGAGGTGACGCAAATGCCAAGTGACGGGCCTGTGAGTGTGTACCGTGAGAATTGCGGCTTGGATCATTCTATGGCACCGCTTAGTGACTATTTCTTGCTGATATCTGTGTTGTAATTATGTGATTAAGTTAATGAGCTGCAAATCATACTAATTATCATGTTAAGGCTTCATGCCAATACTGTTGAGACCCGAGAGGTCGTTTCTTGTTGTCATATCATTAGCTTCATTGATATTTTGTACTCTGTCATGTTCATTCATATTATATCATGCCTCAGTCTCGATGATTGTTATTTGACATATCATATCATTGTTCGTGCTAGTTTCATGACATTTTGAGCCCGTGTGTGTGAGACTGGAGAGTGATGACTGAGTGAGGCTGAGAGCCTGATATTGAGTGGTAGTATGGGATCGGGATGCACGCCGCAGCGAGATATTGANGGATCTTGTCCGAAGTATTTATATTTGGAGATGGATCTTCTCCATAGGCTGGAATGGCCTTCCTCGATACTGGATGAC